ATTTGCTGGCTGAATGCGTGGAGTCTGAATGCGCTGAATGTGTTGTTTTTTCTTGTATACGGTGTTGGGTATGTGCTAGGACAGCAAGATCATCTGCAAAGTCCACGTCTTTAAGGGACAGAAGGGTGTCCATTTAATGCCTCTTGTCATGTCTTCTGTTGTACGCTGCATTACCCAGTTGATGGCAATGCTGAAGAGGATTGCAGACATGACACACCCCTGACATACTCCTGTTTTGACTTCAAAACGGAGCTCACTGTGATCAACACTGCATGTAAAGTTGAAATAGAAGCTTTTGGTGATGTTGATTATACAGAGAGGGATTCCATATGCCTGCAGAACGTGCCATAGGCTGGTCCTGTGAATGCTATCAAAAGCCTTCTCAAAAGTCTATGAAGTTTATGTAGAGTTGTGGTTGCCATTCTAAGCATTGTTCTATTATGTTTCGTAGAGTGAAGATCTGGTCTGTGGATCCACACCCTTTCCGAAAACCAGCTTGCTCTTTTCTGAAAATGCTATCAACTGCCTCTGATATATGCTGGACTATGATCTTACACAATACTTTGCTTGGCACAGATAAAAGGGTGATACTACGCCAATTATTACAATCTCTGAGAGTTCAGTTCCTTTCTTTGGTATCTTCACTATAACGCCATTGGTCCACTCATCTGGTACTTTTTCCCTTTCCCAGACTGATGTAAATAGAGGTGCCAGGATAGATGCTGCTAACTCAGGATTTACCCTTGGACAATTCTGCATTCAAGATATCCTTGCCAGGAGATTTCCCATTTTTTAAGGATTTGATGGCTTGAATGATCTCTTCCCTTAGTTGGGGTGTCTGTGCTGATATCAAGATCTTCTTCTGCCTCCTGGATGTTTGCTTCCTCTTTAGGTGGCTCCCTGTTCAGCGATTCTTTGAAATGCTCTGTCCAGCGCATTTCTTGTTCTTTTTCTGTTGTTAGTAAAGGCCTTGTTTGGCCCTGATGAGAGTGTTTGTTGATGTCCGCCATTTACCACTGATAAGCCGCGTCATTTTGTAGATGGTTCCTTGTTCATCATGAGCAGCTGCATCCTCTGCTTGTGTTGCCAGATTATCAATATACTGTTCTTTGTCCACTCTCACAAGGCATTTGACCTCCTGCTGTGCCTTGCTATACTGCTCGCAGTATTTGTCCTTTAGCTTCTGGGATTTTGTATCAAACTTTTTTCTTCAGGGCTCGTCTGGTTTCTATGGCGTCCCATGTTCTGGGTATAATCCACTTCTTCCTTCTTTTCTGCCTGTAGCCTAGACAGGCTTCACTGCTCTGTTTATAAACTGCTGTTACTTTGTCCCACTTCTTGTTGATCTCCTCATCTGCATTCCTCTCCTCTTCATCAAGGTCTGCAAGTGCCTGAAACCTGCTCTTTAACTGCAGAATGAAGGCTTTCTGTATTTCAGGGGACTTTAGCTTGTCACTGTCATAACGTCTATGTCTCTTGTTTGGTGGACCCACACTTCTCAGTTTTAGCTTGATGGAGGCTGTCACTAGGTAGCGGTCACTGCCAACATCGGCTCCCTTCTCACTTTTACATCTGTCAGTGAGCATCGCCATTTGCCATTGATCATTATATGATCAAACTGGTTCTTACCTCTGCCCTTTGGAGAACACCACGTCAGCTTATGAATTTCAAGATGTTGAAATAGGGTTCCGCCGATGACTAAGTCGTTTATATTGCAGAAATCAACAAGCCTTTCTCCATTTTCATTTATGGTGCCACACTCATGTCTTCCCATTGCTCTGTTTGTGTTGACCTTACTGACCTTGGCATTCAGGTCTCCGATGACGATAGTTAGGTAGTGGCGTGGTATTCTCTCTAACTCTGCCTGTAATGTAAGGTGGAATTTGTCCTTTATTTCTTCATCACTGCCATCTGTCAGAGCATAGCACTGAATCAGGGTGATATTATTGTGTTTCCCTTTCAGTCTGGTCTCATAAGTCTCCTGATGACAGTCTTCCATTCAAGCAGGGAATGTTCCATTTCCTTCTTCAAAAGGATGGCAACACCCTCATGGTGTTGTCCATCATCCCTTCCAGAATATAGCAAAGGTTTTCCCAAGGCTGTTGTTAATCTTCCTGTCCTGTCCATCTGCTTTTGCCGACACCCAGGATGTGTAAGATATAGTGTCTCATCTCTGCTGTGAGCTGAGCTAGCTTCCCTGTTTCATGCATTGTCTGTACGTTCCAAAAACCAAGTTTGTTTTTTGTCTTGTCCCGCGGTGGCTGGGAGTGGCGGGCGGTCCCACCTGCCGCCCGTGATGGCCAGGATCTGCAGCGGGGCTGCCGCTGTCTGGGGCAGTACCCCCGCAGCTCCCTGCCTCTGCGGATCTTTGGAAGTCACGGATTCTGGAAGTCACGTTAAAGCGCAGCCTTAACTATAAAGCAAGTGTTATTTCAGTGTACAGCAGAACCACACTAATTCCCACTTCTGCTAACCCACAAATGTGTGGCCTGTATATACACACGTGTGCGCGTTAGCAACTAGCTTTTCAGAAAAGATTTGTCAACTTGGTGTTGAGCACTTCAGTCTTCATGCCAGTGGCTTCCTTTTGGCTTTCATCACTGGCAGTCAGATGGGTCATTGATTCCTGAAGGCCATCACACACAGTAATGGTCGATTTCTCCATCACTGATTCCGTAACATATTTTGTTTTTTAGGGGACAGGTTTGTTAGCCCTGTGCCTAACCCCCAACCTGGAGGACCAGGGTGTGTGTTTTGTCTGGCCCCTCCCACACAGACCAATCTAGCATGTTTGTACCTACCAGGAGCAAAAAGACCACGCAGACACAGACTCTGGGGATCGTTAGAGCACGCCAGCTGTCATGCCACCACAAGGCATGGACATGAGAGGACATAAAAGTACATAAAATTGAGTCGTAATCACTCAATGTCCAAGTGAAACTGTCCAAAATAATAAAAAGAAAAATCTCACTGTAATCGCTGCAAAAGTCAGTCGACAACTGTGCATGACATGGTCAGAACAAACGTAGAACAACAGAGTTTTTGTTGGAATAATGAGGGCTAAGCCACACCAAACCTCATTTGCTTTCTGAGTCAAGTTGCTCCAAATCTGATTTTGACTAGCCAGAGTAAACAGATGGCAGCACCCACAATATACTAGGCACATTCCAGATAGAGAAATAGGCATTAGAGAAGGCGCTCACAGCCAGAGAGAGGGCAGGGAAAGGGTGCCATGTATAAGAAAAGTGGTCAAAGTGGTTTTATTATGTTTTGTTAATACACGCTTATAGTAACACAGGATTTTTCCAATAATTAAAGTATTGTAGAAGCTAGCATCCCACCTCTTTCCTTCATTACTGATATTCCTAGTGTCACATAATATGGCTATCACCCTCTCATTAAAAGGAAATGAAAGTAGTAAACTACTTTTAATAAAAACAAGTATTTTATAATCCCAAAGACTACAGTTTAAAACAGTGTTAGGACTCTTTATTGTACAATATTGAACATATGATCAGATACAGAAATATTAATTTTATTTTTAAAGGGCCCCACTTTTATCTCTGCCACAGATGAACTTCCAGGGTTGTTATGCCTAGCCTGAATAATACAGATCTGCTATAACCTCACCCTATATCACACTTTTGCAAGGCTTATGGATTTCTTTGAAACTATTCTCTCTGTATAAAACAAATGCAATATTATGAACACTGTTTAAAAATATTTCTAGTGAGACACAGAACCAAAAATATATCCGAAGTCGTTCTTTCAGAACCTATACACTATAAAAGTGAAAGTAATAAAAAAGCACCACCATGAGGACATAATGAGTATGCCATCAAGAACACACTATAAATAAGGCTAAGATTTTGTCATGGATATTTTTAGTAAAAGTCACAGACAGGTCACGGGCAATAATGAAAAATTCATGCAAGCCCATGACCTGTCCCTGACTTTTACTAAAACTATCCATGACAAAATGGGAAGCCAGGGCATCTGCCAGTGGGCTGGGAGTCCAGAGACCCCCACCACCCGTGGGGGCTCAGAGCTCCAGGAACCCCCTTGCCACCCGCGGCGGCTGGGAGTGGTGGGGGGTCCCACCTGCCGCCCGTGGTGGCCAGGATCTGCAGGAGGGCTACCACTGTCTGAGGCAGTACCCCCGCAGCTCCCTGCCTCTGCGGGTCTTTGAAAGTCATGGATTCTGTGACTTCCGTGACTAAAGCGCAGCCTTAATTATAAAGCAAGTGTTATTTCAATGTACAGCAGAACCACACTAATTCCCACTTCTGCTAACCCACAAATGCGCGGCATGTATATACACACGCGTGCGTGCGTTAGCAACTAGCTTTTCAGGGAAGATTTTATAGTAGATTTCATTACTTAAAATATATATAAAAAACTTAAAAATATATATTACTACGATACAACTACCATTGGACTTTGAATGTATACACTAAAACAAAATCTACCATTGTCTAAATAAATGAATACCATGTTTTGTTCTTTCATTTTTGCATTCCATATTGCACTCCAGTTCAAATTAGCTATGCTCCATTTTACTACTTATACATCAAATACTGTTCAAGTTAAATTTCTAAAGATATAGAGGGCTAAATTTTCAAATGTGACTAATAATTTGGGGCATCCAACTTGTGATACCTTCAAAGGGCCTGATTTTTAGGAAGTGCTAAGCACCAGCCCGCAGAAAAATCAGATCCCTTTTAAAGCTGCCTGAAGTCACATTTGAAAATTCAGGCCTTGGTGGCTACAAACTATTTAGATTTTCTTTTAAGGGGGTGTGTGTGTGTGAGTGTGAGTGTGAGTGAGAGAACTTTGGCTAGGAACATGGACTTAGGGAGTGTTAATTATCATTTGTTAGAAATAATGGGTAAAATCATTCAATGGAGTTTTACCATTGACTTAAATGGAGCCCATATTTCACCCAAAAAGTTTGTATGACATTTGCAAGATACAAAATAGCTGGTACACCAGACTCTCACCTTTGGAGGTTTCAAACTTTTCCTTTTTGGTTTTTTAGGGCGTAACAAGCGTTCTCTTTCCTAGAGTAAAAGAGATGATTTTACTTCTTTAACACATATTTAGATTACACGTGACAAAAGGAAACATCATCAAATGTTTTCTTAAAGCATGAGGCAAAGTTACAAACAGCATAAATACTTCTTGAAATATTTAAACAAGAACATTGCCTTGAATGTTTTTCCCTTGAAGCTCAAGAACATTCAGCAATGTACTCCACAGGTTTATCTTGAAATTGGCAGGAAAAGGTTTGTAAAATACGGGGGCACAGATTTCTGACCGTTCTTTTTTCTCTGAATATTCTCGAAATATAGCAACACCCATCGACAGGCAAGAATGTGCCCTGCCTTCTCAGCCTGACGATCAATAGCAAAGACTAGCTCAGTTTTATTAGTCCTAAATCAGTCGGTCACATACATTCTGACACAGAACCACGTATATGAAGATATTTTTTGTTTGCGGCTGCTTTTAAAAAATAAATAAATAAATAAATAAGGGAACACACGATGTAGGTTACTCAGCCTCCCAAGGGCAGGGGTGCTAAGAAGGTAAGGCACTGACTGTTCACGCTTACAGGACTCAGCTCTGAATACAAATTAGGAAGCTCAAGCACAAGTTTGTTGGTGTCTGATCCCAGTTACCTTGTGCCTTTCTTTTAGCATCCGCTTTGAAGAAGATTGTAACAAATCTATGTTGTAAAATAAGAAGGTCACAAATATGCCTAGGACTTTTAGATCTTGCGATCATTCAGCCAAAGAATACTGACTTAACCTTCAGAGGGGGTAGCAGGAGAAGGTAACAGTCGGTAGAAAGAGACAAGAAGAGGGAGGGAAGGAAAAGATAACGTGTAGGTCCTCCCTCCGAACTTTTTTTTAATCCTCTTTTATTCTGCTAACTCCCCCCTCCCTTTACCCTAATTCTATTATCCTTTCCAGCTTTACTCTGACCTACCAATTTCTGTGTCCTTCCCTGCAATTCTTCCAGTTTTAAAAGGATTACAGTGATTTTAGGTTTCTAACTCTAATTGCTGCTAGAGCAGCTGTCTCTCATCTGCCGATATTGAACTACAGCCCGCTGGAATACTCAAGTCAGGGCTTCTTTTTAGTAATTCAATCCAGAAAGTGGAAGAATAGTAAACTACCAATGCTTGTTTTGAAATGGTGAAGTAATCCATAATCCATCTCTGCCAGCACACTGCTCCAGAGGAGAAAATTTGGGAATGTGCACAGTAATTCAGAATAATGATGGTAACTTAAATGGCACCTTCAAAGAATTTTACAAACTTTTATGGGAACCCCTTCATCTTCACCTAAATGCGCCAGCTTCTGCGGTGAAATGCAGCAGGTGTTTCATGTTGCACAGCAACACAACAGTTTAGAGTCGGAAGTGAAAAATACATCTGATGGAATTTTCGGTGCAGTCACCCACATCAGAATCTGGCCAAGACACAAGATGTTACCTGGCGTCCTGTCCTGCATACAGTATTGTAGTGTATTGTATTGTACTTTGACCATGAGAGGTCAAGATCTCCGTTTCATGTCTTACTTCCCCAATACCTCTAATGATCACTAATGATGCAATGAAGAGCGCCACTTGCCGATTCTTCAACATCATTTTCTGCAGTACCTTACAAATCAACTTTTCAGGTATTCACCAGGCAAGTCTGAGTTATGAGATCACCACTTGGTATGGCTGCAATAAGACCACTGATGCGCTACGGAAACTCAAATTTACTACAAAGGGAATAAACAAAGTGCTGAAGAACTATTTTTCATGTCACTACACTGCCAGTTTTAACTGTACTCAATCCAAATTAACTTGAATATTGCTCTCAGATGATAGGTTTATGCATGTATGTGTACTGAACATGTTTAGTATTACCACTGTGAGATCATCAATAACATGCTGCTGCTCTATGACTTGCAGTCTCAGGAATTCCATTTCTTGTTCCTCTCGTGTGCTACTGAGATCATTCAAGGAAGTGTGTCTCTTCAAAGTTGGCTGTGTGGATAACTTTTCTTTCTGCAAAAATCAAGTTTATTATTAACACAACCAATTCTTAAATGTCTTTCTGCAGCATTAGGTAAAACCCTCACCTGAGATACACTGACGTGATGCTCCAGCACAACTAAAGCACAATATTTCCACCAAGCAAATATTTACACTTTAAACACATACAGAGTATATTCTGCATCTCACTTGGACATCTAAAACTAGGATGGAGAAAGCACTGGTGAATATACTCTAGAGAACAATCCTGAAAAGGGTCTTTACCATCTCTAGTTTATACAAGTCAAATTCAGCTCTGACATATACATCCATGCAAAATCCCATGGTATGCCAAGGTGAATTTTAGCCCTCTATTTTATACCCTTTACACATTAAAGCCACAATGATCCTTATTCTTAATAATTTTGTTTAATAAATGACAAAGCAAATAAAAATAAACTCTCTGATTTTAGAATACTATCCACCACTAGCATATTGTATTTGACATTGACACTTTCACATGGCTTAGCTTCTGACACACCAGTATTTATCTGAGTAAGAGCCACACATTTGTTTTCAACTCTAAGCTACTAAGAGCAGCTGCTCTTACAAAGTAACCTCTGATACGTATGAGACAGTTACTTACCATTTCTGCATTTTCCCTTGTGAGATTTTTAATTTTTTCTTCCATCCTCTGGATACACTGTAACATGTCCTCATTCTTTTTGGTCATCCTCTTGTTTTTCTCTACAAGGGGCTTCAGCTGACCTTCTGTCTCCCGAGAACGTTTCAGCTGCAAAGGGGGAGGAACCCCAAAATGTCAGTTAATCATAATCTGGGCTACAATGACCTGAAAGGAGGAGAAACACTTGGCTTTTCACTCCCCCTTTATTTCTCATTAATTTCATTCATTCATTCATAAAGAATATTTTTCTGCTTACACACCACAGCTGAACTATACTGTATGCATCTAAAAACATATAGCCTTAGCTTGTTACCAAAGTGAAACTAACATGGCAGTCAATGCAGGTTTGAGTAAAAAAAAAAATATATCAATGGCAAGGATGCAGCACTCACTATTTAACACAGTTGAAAATGCCCTCATTGCTAAGGCTGGTCTTTGCCATTATACATCATATTTTGTTCTTGGGAAGCACACAGAATTCACATGGTTTATAAAAGTGCTCTCTTGATAAACCGTAAATCTTATTATGCATGTGCTTCCAGTGAGTTATTAGCCCTTTTCCTAGAGAACAAAATATGATAGTTACCTTTCACCCATTTAAATATTCTTTATTAGAAATATACCACGCTCCCTTATTTTAAGGAAATTATACCTAATGTGTAATTAGCACAACCAGGGAGTCAGCCAGAGGGCACAGATTCAATCTCAGGGTTCTGCTGACATTTTCAGCTGCTCAGTTTTGTTCCCCTGGTTTTATGATGTCAGACAATCATCTCAAGTAAATTACTGGCCTTTCCCCAATTTGTGGTATTCAGTATTTTACTATTTTTATCTCCATAATCCTTGGACTATTCTGTTTCCCTACTTTTATCATCAAAAAGACTTTAATATGCAGTGGGCTTTAACTGCAACTTCAGGAAGATAACATTTTTCTTAAAGATTTGTTTCTTTGTTTCATCTTGGGAAGGATATACATTTTTCTTATAAGAATTCAAGTACAGCAGTTTACAAAGTGCCTCCTCATATAGCAAAGCCTGATTTACCTTTTTTAAAGACATATTGGTGATGCCTTTACTCCAGGCATCCAGAAAAGTGTTTGAGTCATGCATGCCCCACATCCTACTTTAATTTAATAGGCCCCAAAGATTTCAGTCTGCAGTATTTTAGCATTTCTTAAGGGTGTGAAGGAAGGTAAATAGCACATGCAGGGAATGATCCAAGTACTAAATAACCTTTTCCTCCCAATAGCACACCAGATAAAAGAAGCAAAGTATTATTGAAAGAAAAAAAGTAAAGAAGAGCTAGAGCAAAACAATAAGATAGTCAAGAGCACAAAGGATATTCAGTATCCAAGAGTAATACTAGGACAATTACTTACAGCAAAACACCACCTTACCCAGGTCAGCCACACCTGCCCTTATGCTAATACAAATGAACCATTAAGGATCATGCAATATGATCCTAAAAAGTACGACAAGGGTGCTAGAACAATTTGTATAGTGGGGGTGCTGAGAGCCATTGAACCAAACTGTGAACCTGTAAATAATGGAAAGCACGTCAAGCCAGGGGATCTGGCAGCACCCCCAGTACTCCTAGTTCCAGCACCTATGAAAGAATATAGGAAATTATTTGAAGGGAAAAGCTATAGGAGAAGGGCATGATATTTCTCTCACTTACTCCAGTTTTTATACTAGGGTAGTACCATTAATAGCATTAGTCCTGATTTGCACCAAGGCCAAAGTGTCTAGTTTCCTTAAGCAGCCTACTGATTATCCCAGTTGAAGAAGCAGAAGATAAGGAATGCATCAGAGCTCTGCTCCAATATAGATTCTTTTAGAATGTGTATGATAAGAAATGGCTATTTACTGTAACTGTGGTTCTTCTAGAAGTAGGTGTGCACGTGTCCAGTGTGCCAGAGCAAGAGACTTTTGCCTGTCAGTACCAGTAGAGGGGCAGTGCTCGCACCTCATGGCTGCGGGCCCTCCTCTGGCTATATGAGGCACAGCCCCAATCCCCCCTCAGTTCCTTTGCACTGAAGTCCACGAGAGTAGACTCCGATACAGAGGGGGCAGTGAGTGCGTCATGGAATACACGTCTGCATCACATCTTAAAGAACCACAGTTACAGTAAGTAACCATTTCTTCTTCTTTGAGTAGATACAGAGGTGTTTCCACTTAGGTGATTCACAAGCAGTACCCCAATCCAGGGGCTCGGAGTCTACTGGAACAGGGATTGCAGGACTGCCCTTACAAGGCCTGGGTCCACATCTCTCTGTAGCCACCCTTCAGTAACCAGTCGTCAAGATCTGAGAAGATGTGGATTCTTTTCCTCCTGAGATACACCAAGACCACCACCATGTATTTGGAGAAGACTGGGGAGGGGGGCAGAAGAGAGAACAAATGGGAGAACCGTGAACTGAAAGTGGCATTCTACCACACAACGAAGAAACTTCCTGTGACTCAGCAGAATTGCCACATGAAAGTAGGCACCTGAAGTTCCAGAGCAGTGAACCAGTCATTCCGAGACAGTGCTGGGAGGATAGCCAAAAGAGTGATCATGCGGAATCTCAGGTACTTGATGAATTTGTTGAGGCCATGAAGGTCAAGAATGGGTTTCATCCTGCCCTTGGATTTTGGTATCAGGAAGTACTGGGAGAAGAAGCTGGGTCCCCAGTGTTCCTACAGGAGTTCCTCCACCACTTCCAATGTTAGCACAGAGCTGACCTGTTCGACGAGCAGTGTCTTGTGAGAGGGGTCCCTGAAGAGAGATGTGGTGGGTAGGTGGGAAGGGGTGCGGAGAGGAACTGGACTGGACTGCTAGGCTCCAGCTGTCAGAAGTAATCAAATCCCAAGCATTGTAAAAACAGGCCAGCCTGTTCCCAAAGGGATGGGGGGATAAAGAGGATGGAGTAACGACTGGACCAGTGCTCTGGACTAAGGAGTCAAAATGGGTGCTTAGCAGACCTGAGCCCGACTGCTTTCTCTTGTGGGATTTATCCCTTTTTGTAGAGTAGTCTCACTGTTTCAGAGGGAAAGGTTGAGCAAAAGGAACGCTGCAGGCAGTATTGCTGCTGTGCCCCATCATGGCATCTTTGCACAGAAGGCATGTACACTCCTAAGGCCTCAAGGTAGCTGTGGAATCCTTAAAGAAATGCAAAGTATCATAAGTCTTGTCCAAGAACAAGACCCGGCAAGGGCAAGTCTTCAATGGCTTGTGGGACGTCCAAAGTGAGCCCACAGATTTGAAACCAGGAAGCCCTCCTCATAGTTACCACTAGGGCCATCACCCTGGCCTGGGTGTCCGCAAAGTCAAGGGTGGACTTCAGGATAATTTTGCTGCAAAGCAGCCTTCCACAACGAATGCCTGAAATTCCTCATCCTAGACGTCAGGGTAGGCAACTGGTCCTCAGATTTAGACATGGCTGACCAACTGAGGAAATTATACTTGGACAGAAAAGCTTGTTGACTCACAATCCTCATCTGAAGGGACAAGGAGGTATAGATATTTCTGCCCAGAAAGTCCAACTGCTTGGAGTCTCTGTCCTTTGGGGTAAATTTGAACCTATCCTGCTTGGCCCTGTCATTTACAGCCATTGCAACCAGGGAATTCGGGGCTGGGTGGAAATAGAACCCTTCAAATTCCTGCATAGGAACAAAATAGTGCTTTTCCATGCACTTAACCACTGGTGGTACTGAGGCGGTGGACTCATGTCAGCTCAAGGAGTGCATCCTTAATCAGGAGGCTCGCTCTCCCAGGGACAGCAGGCTGCAAAATGTCTAGCAATTTGAGTGTGTTCTCCTGAAGAAACTCCACGTGGATGCCAAGGGATGAGACTATGTGGCATAAAAGATCCTGGTACACTTTAAAGTCCTCTGGAATAGAAGGGGAGGGTGAATCAGGCAGCCTGGCACCATCCTGCAACAAAGATGAGGGTCTTGGCTGGGCCACAACTGACTCTTGCTCCCAGGAAGAAGTACCCAGGAGGGAGGACTCTGGTGGCTCTGCAGGGAGGAAGACCACCAATGCTTGGGCTTGCAGCTGATCCTCAGTCACCCCCGTCAACCTGGTGGGTAACTTTGGCTTAGATCGGAACAAGGAGCAGGATCTCCGCAAGCAAGTAGTATCCCACTGAGTCCAAGAACGCCACTGATATGGGTAGAACATTGGTGGCCAGTAGGGGCCGGGTCAGGGACCTCTGCCCAGCCATGGGGCACGTGCCAACCCTGGTCCATATTGATCCACTGGCCCTTGGAGCTTATCAGGTGATGCAAAGTGGGAAGATGATGATCCTGACTTGGATTCATAAGAACCCTGGGATCTTGGGGACAAGGGTGGAGTGATGCCCGAGGGAGCCAATAGGCAGTCCAATTCATCTGACGTCCAGAATGAGGCTGGAATTGGTGCCCCCCGATGAAGGAGGTACCGTTGGTACTGAGCATGCTGGTGCCACAGGCAGTGGCAGTCTTGGTGCAAACAGCGGTACCAAAGCACCCAAGTCTGTCGATGTGGAGGGTGGCGAATGCCACCGGGGGAGCCTCTGCGGCATCAAATGCAGAGGGGCTGGAGAAGGTCCTGGTGCCAAGGTCCCCTGTACCAATTCCAGGAGTGTCTGGACACGGTGCCAACACACATGACTCTGCTTCCATTGCAGTCAATGAAAGTTTTACCATTAACTTTAATGAGAGCAGAGTTAGACCAACACTGAATGCTTTTGAAAATTGCACCCTAACTATGCAGGAAAATACATTTCTTAAATGCTCCTCATTTCCTTCCATTTCTAAGTTGCTCTCTCTCATCCACAATACCTCCACTTATTTCAGGAGTTTCCCTGGAGATTAGGCAACGGTAGATTTTTCCATTAGAAAAACAAGCTTTGTAGCTCTTAGCCAGCATAAGACGTTCACAAAACAATGGTGGCATTGTCAAGTTTCATTACTTCAAAGAGTAATACAGTAAATTAGTTACATAGATTACATACTTGTCATGGTGCAGTATATTACCAAATGCTGCATGCAAGCTACCACTCATAATTTTATGCCCACTTTGTGAGAGAACTATTTGTAGACAGTTCTGAAGAAGATGAAAAGGAGGAGCAATCATTTCAAAACCTTTTCCAAAGTTGAGTTTATGATGTTAAATTTCCTCCTCTTTGAAAAAAGAAAGTGACTTTCACATGGAATGACAGCCTGGAGGACAACAGTTTTAGCTCTGAACCCTGCAAATGCTCCATCCTTGTGCCCAAATGAACCATTCAGAGAAAAGGAAAAGCATCCAGAAAATAGCATAATACTGTTCTCTCTCTACACCAGCAGTTTCAAAGTCCTGGCTGATTAGCTACCATAGTGTTAGACACCTTAGAAATAGGAGACAGAAAAAAATATTCCTGGGAAAGACATGAGGAAGAAAGAAATGCTGAATTGGCAAGAAAATTATGTAATTATTTAATTATTTTAAATTATTTATTATTATTTAATTATTTAAACATCTTCACTTCAGCTGATGACCTCTACAGGGGTCATGTTTGGGTGTAAAGGAACACCGTTTCTTCCTGGAATATATACGTATTAAGTAAAACTAAAAAGCAATAAAGACAAAGGTTAATTTTTTTAAAATCAGTTCTTAAGGGACCTTGTAAGAATCAAACGAAAAAAAATAGTGATTATCTCAGTCAAGCTACTTGCAAAGAATGCATGTGATGAAAGGACATACAACAAGGGGACAAGAAATAAGGGAAAGTAAATCAACCAAGTAAAAAATCTTTACGTTTCAGTGTGTTAGCAACAGAGACAAATAGTTAAACTCTGCCTGAACACACAACTTCTCTAAATGCCATTAAAATATTGTCCTGCAAGTCATCATCTGTGTTATTACTAATTATTTTACCAGTTCATTTCTTTCATCTGCTAAAAGGGTATTTCTGTCTTCCAGCTTCCGTATTACAGCATTCAGTTCAGCGATTTTTAGTTGAAATCTCCTTATGTCTCGTTCATCCATATGCTGTTCCTTTAAAAACATACAAACCAAAAAGGGATTTTTTTTCCTTTCAAATATCGTTTATTACACAGAAACATGTACTTAGATTATAGCAGGCAGACTTTGCATTCAGTGTATGCATACAGCATGGATACTGTAGAGAATATCTATAGGCATTTGTATCATTGACTGGAAAATATTTTTTAATTGATATGAACTGTTGCAAATATTTCTTATAAGAGTCACAGGGTTGTATAAGTTGAAAAAGGGTAAGCAGCCAAAAGATTAACTCGAAGCTACATCACGTAAAAAATTTAAATTAAACCTTAAATTATGAAAGTAAGATCTACTACTAGTGTTCATAGTACTGAGTTATCTCAGTCTCATGCCACAGTTAATAGCACGGCACAGAACATATTTATAAGATAGCACAGTACAGATTTGGAAAAGAATAAGTACAAATTCCCTTTTAATGTCTACGGCTGTTGTATAGAATAGTTCATATTCATAAAATAAATAAATATATGAAGGAAACAAATGGTTCGTCATTGCAACTGAAGAAACATACGTAATCAGCCGTCAATTACAAGTAATAACCTCACATTGTGGCCACTTTTTACCAGTTTAAAGTCAAATGTTTTAAACATTCTTCAAAATTCAAGAGGCAAGTGGAGTTTTTAATACTCAAAAAGTGGAGTTACTTTTACTGCAACAATGCAATGTACAGTGCTGTTACCAATGCAATGCTCCTTTGGCAAGGATTAAACATAACTCACAATTCTGTGGTTTCACAGTATCCGGAAACGCTGAGAAAGTAGATACAGTAACTGACCTATGAAGACTATCTGCTTCTCTTACCGGGCTTCCCATCATTTCAGTGATATCCCCTACTCCAGCAGGAAGTTCCTTCTTGGGGCTACCATGGTACCGTTCTGCCTCCTTCACTTGGACAAGCTGTTCGTCCAAAGCTTCTTTCTGAAGAAGCAGCTTTTGTGCATGGCCTGCCTGGACACCAAGATCTTTTTCCAAAGCCAAAATCACTCTGTCTTTGCCTTTTATCTCATCCATCTGCAAGGGAACAGAGCAAGAGAGAAACTTCTGTAACATTTCCAAGTATTTACAACAGGCAGCAAACATACCCACAAAAGAAAGTTCTGCTCTGAAAACTACAGTGGCCACCTAATTGTGACTCTTTAAAATCAAGCTGCATCTACCTGAAATAAACATTCTTTTTCCTGCAGAAAACATCAGTCTTCCATTTGCTAAGGTCCCAATCCAATGCCCTTTGAAATCAATGGTTACTTCAATAGAGGTTGGAGTAGGCCCTATATAACAAAGTGCTGGAAGCTAATAAATGAGCCAGCACTCTGATCACTTAGGCACCAATCAGCTCCCCTGGAGAAGGCTGATTGTGTCTATGGAACAAATTAGCTGACCAGGCTAGTGAACCAATTAGCCATCAGATGAGAAGTATAAAAGAAGACACAGGAAGGCAGTGAGGGGGAAGGACCTGGGCTAGCTGAGTTCTCAAGGAAGGGAGATGCCTGTTCCTGCTTGGCCCAGTAGGACAGAGCCAGAAACCTTGCAAATACTTTCCTGCACAAGACTGTATTGGTGATGGGAATATAAATAAATTCATATAATTTGTCACCTACTGATGGCATCTGAGAGGTTTCTGGGGCTTGCCCTATTATGCTCTACATGAGGTAGGTATAAAACAAAGAGAAAAAATACTCTCTATCTGAGGATGCATAGTTTCCCTGGACAAAAAAAGAACCTTTCTTCACTATATTCTGGGAAAGATATTCACCTGTGGTGCAGAGGGCCAGGAGGAAGCCAATGTACCGTTTAAATCCCAACTAAGCCTTATTTTGAGGCTTAAGTGATACTTCAGCCTCCCGCTGACCGTCTGTCTAGGAGTGAATTTCAGACATGACGAATGTATCCACAGACAAATGCTATTAAACCAAAATGTGTACATTTAATCCAAAATTCGGAAACATACTTAACTACCTTTCTTCTTGCTCCTTGTGATAAGATTACAACGTAGATTAGTCTTTGCATAGAATGAAAAAGGAAATGTTTTATATCACAGCACCCTGAGTTGGTAAGACACTATTTCAGCATGGTAGGGAGAAATGTTTCCCTAAATCCTATCTATGTTTACCCAAATGTGTTGCTCACACATCTCAAAACTACACAGAGCATACTATCAGCAGTAAACTACTGTAGCTTACACTGGATGTGCCCCTCACAGCATCAACAAATTGACTTTGGTAATATTCCAAACGCTAAGGGAAGTGACAATCTACACTAGTTACTATAGAAACAGATTTCTTAACATGTATGCTAACAATGTACCATATATTTATTGGGAATGTGCTACATGCTTTCTTTTTCAGTGTATTACCTCATTTCCTTCCTCCCCCCAAATGTAAATCCATGGGATCATTAGGGAAAAAAAACCCAAATTAAGTCATATCATATGTACCATATTCTTTATCCCAATCCTACATTAAGAGTGCATCAACCTTAAATAGTCAAGTGCTCAAAAGTCAGGAAATGCCAGAATTAAGGCTGTCCTAGCAGTTGTAACTCTGGTGCTTGTATGTTTGCACTGCAATAAATTCTTTATTACATGATCACAGACTATTTGTTTTCTTAGGGATTCTTGCCTTACTCAGTTCCAGTGAATGAGGCAAGACTATGCACTGACTCAGGCTGGTACCTTGCTTCGGGCACTGTAGAAGTTGGACCCTGTGAAGCAAATGAAGGCATGATCCACGGTAAGAGGAAGGACAAGCTGCTTGTTAAGAAACTAGACTGGTCCCAGAAGATCTGAATTCTACCACCACCTCTGCCACAGATTTCCTAAAGGACTCTGGGTAAGTCACTTAATTGTTCTGTGCCTCAGTTTACCCACCTCACTAAATGCCTGAGGACAAATTAATTAATGTTTGTGAGGTTCTCAGCTATTATGGTGATGAGTGCAAAAAGGAAAGGTTCTCAAAAAAGAAAAAATTCTTATTCATGGAACGATTTGTATGATGTGTACTCTTTGAAGCATGGGGCTACAATGAACAACAATAAAAAAAATATTGAACAGCTGCCTCATTCACTGAGCACCATCCATCAAGTGCACTGAACCAGCCAGGGGTCCTTTGGGAAAATAATATCTGATCATGGAACTAAACACTGTGGGCAAAATTTTGCTTTCAGTTACACAGGTGCTGTTCCCATTGAACCCAATGAGAGCCACTCCCATGCAACAGAAAACAGAATCAGGCCCTGTAACATAATGCATACGCATAAGGAGGAAGAATTAAAGTTGCATGGAAAGCCTTAATTTTAGCAACTGCTATCTTCTGGGCGCTTCACTTTACAACCCTAATGTTCTTTTAATTTAAATTTTAAATGGAATTTCGTAGCTGTTAAAAAAAAAATGAAGAGACATTTCAGCATGTGTTGCTATTTGCTAAACAACAGCAGAATGCTCTGTTCTATGTAATACATACAATCATTGAGGAAGAAACTCAAGCCCTGGTCTTTTTTCCATGTACAGCTTCACAAATCATATTCCACAAGCCCATACATATTAAAACTGAAGTTCCATGAAGCAAGAGATGTTTTGGGGTGTGTGGTGAGGGGCCAGCGGGAGGGGTGTTAAGCAGAAAAACTGCTTCCCTCCAGCCCTCTCTTTTTCCATGCTTAAAAACAGAATCTATTTTGGTGAAACTTTCAAGCAAAAATAATCACATTTCAGGCAAAAAAGTTATACCTCAAGAAAGTTATAAGAAACTGAAATGACCCCTTTGACTGGAAATGTATGGGCAACCTTACTAAAGGCTTTGCTCCACCTATTTTTTAATACACACATCTATACACACACACACACATCTTGTAATGCATGTTTCATTACAGCCACAAAGAGAGAGAAGAGGAAGTTTTGAAGCAATCTTGCACAGTTAATTCAATACCTAAAGATAAACAGAACAGTGGCACAGTTGCAGTTAGACACCCATCTGTCTTATGTTGTTATGAGCAACAGTATCTCCAGGTTGAAAAAGAAACATATCTGAAGATGGAATAATAGAAGAGTAACTGTTGTTATCTTGGAAGGTTTTAGACAGACAAATTGCATCTTTTAATGGTGAAGGAATATTGTGTCTATTTATTGGGTGAATCTATATTAAGAAAAACATTTAAATATGCATTTTGTATCCAACTCCCTTCTCTTGGATCCTTTTATTTCTATCTTTACTAAGAGAGAGTTATGAAATATCTGATGCAGTATATTCTTTAATGACAGAGGTTAATCCTATTTCAGAAGTTTAGGCCAAAATTCAATTCCCCCCTTCCCTCAAATGAAAAGTTTCACCTTTCATCTGTCCAACATAACTAATGCAATCTAGCTGCTTCCTCACTTTCACAGCCTCAACCTGTCCCCACCACTGCCTCAGGATTTCTGCCTTCCTTCCACCCTGACCAAAAAGCAGCAGACTTCTCCATTTTTACTTGTCTCCCCATTATATACAAAGACTAATGCATTGCCAGAGGGACTACAGTACATTCAGTCTAACATAGCCTATAGCCTTGTGGAAAAAAAGTTAAGTGTTGCCCTCTGATATTGCATACAGTAGTCTAGATCTTGGCTACATGAGCACACATACAAGTCATGTACAAGTGTGCACAGCCAATACTTAGTATAAAATAGACCAATCCTCTAGCTACTCTGACATAAATCAGCTGATAAAAGCCTCTGGGAGCCCAAACTGTATCCATCGGTTTTGCTTAGGTGTGGTCTTGACACTCCCATCTCCTCTGGCAGTAGCAGAGGGCTGGGCATGCCAACTCTATGGCACTGGAGGATCCCCCTTTGCACAGGAGTGGTCTTGCCAGAGCTGGTCACACTGAATTTACAGGCAGAATGTGCTGGCAGCGTGGTGCAGGTTTTATTTAATAGGGAAAAAAGGAACATGTTCCAGTATTAAAGTGACTTAATTATAATGAATTAATCTCTTTGGATACTTTGTTAGGTACTATGCTAATTAAACACACAAGCATTTTGACAAAGTGCTTGATTCTTTATACCTATCTTACATGAGTGTAGCACTATTCGCTTTAATAGACTTACTGCTGATGTATGCTCATTCAAATGAGTAAGCATCATCTCTCCTCCCCGCGAGGAAATACCTGCAATGCTTGAGCATTTGAGCCACAATCTGTGGTTCCATTACAGTAACATTCATGCACCATAAGGGATTCTGAATTTGGTTGCATTACGTGACCGACAAGATTCTTTCCAAACTGGGTAGTTAGGTTTTGAGCTCAAAAAGACACTTTTTCAGTTTGGCAGATCAAGCATGATGCCTGTAATTAAGCCACATAACAGGATGATATAGGCACTCGCCATTGCTCACATTCCAATAGCATTCGAAGGCTTTAGACAATTCTGATCTTTTCGTTTACATAACACTGAATAGTGCACTTGCACGTAACGGATGTAGGGGGAAGAGGTGGGGCATCACCGGATTCAAACTGGTTTGAAATTACTCATTTTGATTATAACTATAATCTACTACACGCCCTGACCCCCAAAGTAGTGTTATGGGGAAAAGTGGGGTCACCCACCAGTGGCTGCAGAGGTATATCAGTGCAAAATCACAGCATAGGGTATTCCAATGTAATTTTAGAGTAAATATTGTGCAGTTGGTTAAAATTACAATTTTCTAAAATATCATTTCTAATTTATATTTAAAGTACGTTTGTTGCATTGTCAAATGGTTAGTTATTAAATATAGCAATCACTTTTATCATTTTGGTGAGGAGATGGCATTAGTAGTCTGTGTCAACATCAAAACCGGCTTTCTAAGAACAGGTATTTTCCCCCAACCACTGGGAGAAACAACCAGAAACGAATGTTTCATAGAATCATAGAATATCAGGGTTGGAAGGGACCTCAAGAGGTCATCTAGTCCAACCCCCTGCTCAAAAGCAGGACCCATCTCCAATTAAATCATCCCAGCCAGGGCTTTGTCAAGCCTGACCTTAAAAACTTCTAAGGAAGG